TCTGTGAGGAAGTCTGAAGGAAGAGGCAGATTTTTTCCGGTTGTGTACTTTCAAATTCTAGCGCACTCGAGCTGGTTTCTCCAAAATGACCCACCCCACCTTTAACTAAAGTTATTATAATGTGTTATTATCATTCTTATTTTGGACATTTCTCTATTTGGAAACTGTATTTGTCTTTCAGTGACAGTCCAAGCCTGTTAGCAGGCTCAGCAAAGGCTATAATATAAAAAAAAAACATGTTTAATTGTGAATTTCATATTCACCTGACATAATTAATTAAGTTTGACTTCATTTAACAATTCTACAATGTATGCTGTTCTATCTTTTTGAGTACTTTGATGATTATTTTGGAGCTCCGTGGTTTACAGGGCACAGCTAAGTTCAACAAATGCAGTCAGACAACGTGCATCTCATCCCAATAACAAAAGAAAACAAATAACACAATCCATGCCAAATAATGCAGCAGGCTCACACACAAGCTACTTTGCACAACACCTACAGAAATTCAGTTTTTCTTGCTTTGAATTTCTTCTTTGTAAGCTGGACATAACCGTGTCCAGAGTTAAATATCGCATTCAATAATAATCCTAAGAGCATCTTTCAAACATAAACTGAGTTTTAATTCAACTTGACCTGATTAAGTACAGTTTTACATCTGCCCTCCATGTGACTAAGGCACAAGTCCCATGCAAAGGCGTTTAAATGAAAATGTATGGAGAATACATTGTGGTAGAGGAGTGATTCTCATGATAACAGCTGGTTGCACTGCTAGTTAACCTGTAATGTTGGCTGCAGTTAACTAGCAATCAATCTAGTTCTTTGAGTAAGGCACTACTGTATGTACAAGCAAGTCTCAGATGGGAACGGTGTATCCCTGTAGAAATGACTGAAGGAGTTCTGCACAGTTACTGCAGTTGGTTCCTTTCTAGGTAAAAAAGGCAAATACATTTAAAGAAGTCTTAATCAACTAATTCATTGTTTAAGAGTCAAGTTGGACCAATAGCCAGCCTTTTGGGAAAGCACTACCTATCATATCGTGAAATGACAAATAAGGTCCATCCTATGTGGTACAAACTGGTAAACAAGCATCCTGTATCAATTGGCTGACATTTTCCTGAATTATCAGTACAAGCCACACCCCCGAAGGTTATTAGCTATTATGACATCAGTGACAGCATCAAAGACAAACTGGATGTTGTTGGTGTCTGTAGCGCAGGTCACATGGGCATACACCTCTTTGCTGGGCGACTTGTTCTTGCTCTCGTACTGACACTTGATGTAGTCTATTCCCTCCAAGTAAGTGTCTGGACCTGGGGAGAGAGACAAAGAGACAGAGATGACATATAGTGGGAGTCAGGTGAAGGCTACAAAGCTGTATTTTTAAATCAGTGGGCGGTCCTACATTACCAGCATCAGCAGTATTGTTGTTTTTTTATCAAAACATAACCTTGGACTTTCTAGCTCAGCACACATACTGCTGACTGCAGACACTTTGATAAATATGAAAATTGAAAGATGACAAATGAATTGCGCGATTAGAAAAAATGCATGTATCGGTATTGTTGGCAGTGTGCCTGTTTGAGAATATCTCCAATCAATCATAGTCTTTAAACAGCCACATTGTGACAGAGACTGAGTTCCCAGAGCCAAACTGGTGGAACCATTATTAACACTGTCTACTGATTCATTTTACAGAAGGGCACAATCTGCATTTGGTTTTTTAAATCTAATCTTTATTTGAATTAACGCTTTTGGAAAACATCTACTTGGCTCTCAGCCAGTAACAGAACTGTGTTTGTCAGAATAGGCACGAGGTCTGGCCATGTCAAAAGGATGAAGAGAGGGGAAGAAAAAGAGGAGGAAACAGGTTTAGAATCCTAATGGTGCGTTTCTCAGAGTCTGGCTGTGCTCTCACTAGCTTTCCCACAGTCTTGCTTTGTCTGTTTTCTCCTTTCTTTCCCCCCCTCACACTCTTCTTTTTTCAGTCCCTCTTACGTTCTGTTGTTCCCCCCCGTATCATCTTATTTTCTCCTGCATCTACCTCACTCAAGCTTTTCTGCTTTGGAAACCTGGTAATACGCCTGGTTTCATTCACTCAGTTACTTTTTGACTTCTTTGTTTTGTTCCAGACTGAGCCTATTGTCTCTTTTCTGCTTCCTTCAACTTTCTGTTTCTGTCTATTTATGCCTCCTATCCATGTATCCTTCTTCAAACAACCCCTTTGTCTATTTTCTCAGAGAAAATGATCATTTTTTACGGATAATTGATCTCTTTGCGTATTTGCCGCCAAATTCACCTATTTATCTTCTCCCTAGGATTTCTTCACAGGGCTCATAAGAAATGTTTTGAGTTAAATATGCAGAGAACTTGTGCTGATACGATAAAGGCCAGGGTTGACCAAAGATGCATCACAGTGAAAATGTGCACTGACAACATGTACGTCTCAAAGTGAGAACTGGTTGTCTTTCCTAAATCTGGTACTCTTCAAATGTCAGAGCCTCCTAGTGTCCAAACCACTATAGAGTATAGTATTTGAACTAGTAATTGAGTATCCCTATGAGGTGCATGGATATATACCAGAGTACTCGGGGAAGCAGATGGACAGTGGTGACTTGCAGATCTTGCTTTCGAAGAGATCCTTCTTGTTGAGGAAGAGGATGATGGAGGTTTCGTTAAACCACTTGTTGTTGCAGATGGAATCAAAGAGCTTCAGAGACTCGTGCATGCGGTTCTGCAGAAGAGAAAAGGGTTAATTGGGCTTTAGAAAACATTCTTCTGTATGACTATTGATCATCGATACACACTTAAAAGAACAAACCAGACAAGTGTCAACATTTGTGCAAATGTTTTCAGAAAACACATGCAAACAGATGAAGACCCCATACTGCATACACACCATTGAAACACAAAAAGGAACTGAGTAAATACAAAATGAGAAAGCAGAACAGAAGTACTGAGGGGTTCCTCATGGCTGTGGACACAGCATTTCCTGCGGCGTGTGTAGGTTTTATTTGTGTGTGAGTGCTTGTGTGTATCAAAGCATCATTAATAGCAATTATCAGTAAGCTGAGCGTTTCAGCCATGTTAAACAAAGCCATGCACTTCTAGCTTCAAAGCGGCTGCGTTCTTTAAATGTAGGATGGTACCACGACTCAATGATAGCTTAAAGGTAACCTGTGGAGTTTTGACCACTAGGGGCACTGTTGAGCAATGCATTAAAGAGGAAGCTCTCTTTTCGGAGTGCATTAGGTATTCTGCAGCGTGTGCTTCAGGACATAACCTGCTCACAGTGAGCAGAGGTTTATGTAATCTGCAGAGGCAACAACACTTTTTAAAGGTAATGAATTGTAAAGGCTGCAGCGTACCCTTGAATGAAAATAACACAAAACAGGGCGATGGAAGTGATGCACATTCAAATGAGCTTTGCACATTTCTATTTGAGGTAGGAAATTCAACGTGGGTATCAGGCCCATTGGCCACAATGCATTTTGTTTTAGAAATACTAAAAGTTTACAATGAATACTCCACAGGGTATATAAAGAATAAATGATAAACAAAATAAGTTTAAGTCCAAATGCAAACACTGTTAAATAAGCATCTGAAATGAAACCAATACAAATAAGAACTTAACAAAATATGCTTAAACCATTAATGATTCAATCAATTTAGTAGCTCGTATTATTTTCATCATTAGGCATTTTTTCATGTTAGTATATTGTGGGACATTTTTTTCGGAATTGAGTTGTTAGCCATTGTTGTTGTGCTTTGTTAGCAAAATGGCTTCATAAATCAGTGTACCTTGACTAATTATCACCAACATCCAAATCTCTGTTTGCTAATTGGTGAAAGGTGAAGAGCAAACAAAACATTGGTTTGACTTTTAATGCACATAATAAAACATAATAATTAATAAAGAAAACTAAGCATACTGCATGTAAAAGTGCTTAGTGATGAAAATGTATATGACTGATTTGTTTCAATAATGAGTTGAAAGCAGTTTCTCTCTGGATATGATCCAGTATGGCCAGTTAAACTATCAACCAATCACAATAGAGGAAATTAGTTATAGCCTTACATACAACACAATGACAGAAAAGAGG